TAACTAGGTGAGCCAATTGTGATACAACTAATACATGAACTTATCTCAAACATTTGTTGTTCAGCGACTCGGAGTCTTGTCAAGAACTACTAGGACCTAAAGTTGAGACGTCTGAAAGGAAGACAGTGTTGTTTCCTTTGGATGAAGGTGCTGAACGCTTTGCTGTGGTGCTCTATCACGACAAAGCGGAACAATTTGGACCAGCCAATTTTATCATACATTCTATTGATATTAGATCTGCTAATGATGAAATATTATGTTAAGAGTACTAGTAAGGTTATTTCTAACTGCTTGAATTATTCGAGTTATTTAGTCAGTTTACCGAAAGCTAAGAATCGCGAAAGCGAGTATGGTTGTGGTGCGATCTCAGACGAATCAATAACTATATTTACTGCAGCTAAGTTCCTGTTTGATACGACTAAAGACTAAAGAGCGTCAGCGATCACATCGCTGCCATAGCCTTAGTTGTAAATGTTAGCTTCTTTGAGGTGGACTATATTAGTGCATTTGTTAATAGAAATGTTACTTTTATGCTGTAAATTATGATGTTTTTCCATTGGAACGTTGAAGTTAAGTGCAAAGGCTTATGAATTTACAAATTACGGCGAAGTGTAGATTAGTGGGCTGCAGTCTGACTTAAAGAACGTTCTTTTGAAAGATCCCAGATTATGCTCATACCAGCTTTGAAGGACGCTGCGGTGCTTTATTAAATATTAACTTACAAATAAATGAGGAATATACTATCAATATTCTCCTGAAGCGTTTTGTACATATTGCATAAATAATTCATTTTTTCTATGTGAAGCCTTGTCTTAAAAAAGTTTTCAAGATTTTATTGTGTTTTTTCTAATTTTAATATATTTTGGATTTCAACAACAATTTTTCCCTTAGCCGTCGTTCTTCAGTTCCGCACTTGAGACCAGTTGTGCGAAATAGTGTGTCGATGCACTGCAGTGTATATTAAGCTCAAATTCAATAATCCTAATTTGAACCACAATGGTGCAAAGCAGATTCCCTGTTCAGTTACGATGAGCATGGTAATGGATGAAAAGCTTTAAATCCGAAAGTTAGGTTGAACCTTGAAATGTTTTGTCATAGACGTCATATTTGTTACCCCATTTTTTATCCTAGAGTTATAAACTATTTTGGCAAATCTCACTTCCCCATTTTAGCCCTCAATTAGAAGACCAATTCTTTTACCTGCTATGACTTCTGAACATATGCCAATTGGTTTCTAAAAGTTATATCTTTTTTATGATTAACATATCAAATGGACCCCCGTGATGGTCTACCGCCTCATCGTGGCGCGGGGGTGACTCTGGGTGTCGAACTGCGAAGTAC